TGTGTGTGTGTGTGTGTATATATATATATATAAACCTGCCGAACGAACTCACAATTTAAGGCTAGCCACTGTGCTTACTCACTGTTAGAGAACAGAACTAGAACGTCACTCTTGCTTATGGACACTGAGTGATGTACACATTCTGATCCAGGTTGGGAACCCCTGTGCAAAAGTCACGCCAAACAGCCGATCACACCCCGTCCTGCGCATATCCCTTGTCTTGGCATTTCTCTCAGAATCCCTGCAGTGTGGCTCATCTCGGTCGAGCTTGCAAAGGGATAGCAATTTGATTAAGCCCAAAGCACACGAAAATGTGGAATGACTGGCGGTCCTTAACCCTTTTAGGGACATCTTTTTAAAGTTTATTTATTTTGAGAGAGAGAGAGAGAGAGAGAGCGAGCATGTGCGCAAGTGGGGAAGGGGCAGAAGGAGTGAAGGAGTGAGAGAGAATCCCAAGCAGGCTCTGCACCATGAGGGCAGAGCCCAACACGGGGCTTGAACTCATGAACCACGAGATCATGACCCGAGCTGAAGTTGGGACGCGTAACCAACTGAGCCACCCAGGCGTCCCTTAGGGACACTTAAAGGAACAACTTGTTCACTTACCGCGTTTACAGCAGGAAAAGGCAACCTGCCGCCGTAAAGGCAACCAGCGCCAGCTGGTGCATAGTTCAGGGTCGTACTCGGTCCGCCATTCACAGCTGCTTTCCCCTTACACTGCTTCTCCTGCCCCCTCTCTCTTCTTCCATTTCCCCATCTGGAAAACAGGCGTAGTCATTCTTTTCCTATCCACCTCAAGGATTTTCTAAAAATGTAACAGATTAAGGAACTTCACAATTGATAGAAATCTTGGAGATCATCTGGGGACTTTTATTTTTGCTCTTAGATAATTCTTTACAGTTTATGAATCACTTTCATTGACACTGTCTCATTGAAACCTCAGAACAACTGGGGCGTCTGGGTGGCTCAGTCAGTTGAGTGTCTGACTTTGGCTCAGGTCATGATCTCACAGTTCGTGAGTTCGAGCCCCGCGTCAGGCTCTGTGCTGACAGCTCACAGCCCAGAGCCTGCTTCAGATTCTGTGTGTGTCTCTCTCTCTGTTCTTCCCCTGCTCGCTCTCTCTCTCTCTCTCTCTCTCTCTCTCTCTCTCTCTCTCTCTCAAAAATAAATAAGGATTTAAAAAAAAAAGAAACCTCAGAAGAACTATGGGAAATCATCAATCTCTTTTGATAGGGAGGAAACAGGTGAAGAAAGCGGGAATTACCTTTTTTTCTTTTTTTTAATGTTTATTTATTTCTTTCTGAGAGCGATCCAGAGCGAGTGAGCACAAGCTGGGAAGAGGCAGAGGGACAGGGAGAGAGAGAATCCCAAGCAGGCTCTGTGCAGTCAGCACAGAGCTTGATCTGAGGCTTGAACTCACCAACTATGCGATCATGACCTGAGCTGCAATCAAGAGTTGGCCGCTTAACTGACTAAACCACCCAGGTGCCCCGAAAGGGGGAATTACTTGCCAAAATAGAGCTGGGGGCAGTCAGTGGCTCTTTGCTCTACCTAAGTCTCCCTATAGATCCAGCTAGAAGGCCCTGTAATCAAAAGGTTGACTAGTTCTTGATTGTACTCCCCCAGTGCATGGGGAGCTAGCTCACCATTCCTTAGTTGGGTGGCATTGATAGCTGGCTATCACTTGTGGAACAGAACATGTTATATTGAAAGGAGGGGGTGACTCTTAAGGCTTTCACCCTAACGTGTGCCAGACAGAAGAGAAGTTTACGGAAATAGCCAGAATGGCAATAACAACACTTCCCTGGTTATAACCCTTCAGTGGCTTCCTGGTTCCTTGCAGAGGGAGTCCGGGCTCCTTGATGTAGCCTCCCTGAGCTTGGCCCAGCCTCAGATCACCTCTACATGCCTCACACATCTTCCCACCCCACCCCAGCCTTCCTGCAATGTGCTTCCTCTGCCAAGAACACCCTCACCTACCACCTTTACCTCCCTGCTCCTACCGGCCTCTCAACTCCCCAACCCCCAGAATCCCTGCACACTAGATTGTTCTCACTTGCCTCCCTAACAAGACTACAGGATTCCTTTGCGTGAGTGCCCAGCATGGAGACTGTCACTGAACTGGCGATTGCCCCACTCCAGCACCTATGCAGACCCCTCTGCTGCTCCAGACAGCCAGATCAGCAGAGGGTTAAACAACTGTTCTGGCCTTAAATCGGCCTTGGCACTGGAGAAGCAGGTGGCCCAATGGTTAACCAGATTCTTTCTGGGCCTGTTCTCAGTTCTGCTCAGGAACTCAATCCAGCCAGGTCTTCCCAGAGCTGAAACCTGGGCCCCTCTCACCCCTTCAGGAGCCCCCCCCCCCCCCCACCAGGGCCCTCCGATGCCAAGTAGCTGGAACTGCCAGGGAGGGGAAGCGGGGGAGGCAGAGGACAAAGCTGGAGGAGGCATAGGTGGACAGTAGGAAGGACCTGGCCCATGCTCTGCCAGGCTTGCCGCTCCCGTCCCTGTCTCCCTACCCCCATCTGTGTACCCAGGAGGCTGGCCTGGGTGGTCGCTCCTGATAGGAATGGACAAGAGCAAGGGACCCTCAGACTCCAGAACCCCCTAGCTAGGGGTCCCCTTGCTGGAGAGGGACTTTTTCCACCACAGGTAGGGGTGGGTAAATCTTTAACTAGTTAGCCCTGGGCAGGCCCAAGCCTTTCCGGATGGCTGGATGCCTGAGAAGGGGAAAGGGGGTGGGGGGTGTAAGGCGTGTATAGCCAGTCCCAGTGTGGTGGAAAAGGGAGGGTAGCGGGAGAGAAAGGAACGAGACTGGGGCGGAGCTAACTCCGGGTGCGAAGCTGGCCATGGAGGAACGCGGGTCTCCCGACGGGTAAGGAGAGATTCTGGGAGGTAAGAGGAGCCGCTGGGCTCAGGGATGGTAACTCACGTTGCGGCCACAGGGACCCCGCGCGGAGCCTGGAGCAGGGGCCAGAGGGGCCAGAAACGCCCATCCAGGTGGTACTGAGGTAGGTATAGGTTGGTTGGGCGGGAGCGAGGAGCGAGGGCGATCGAGGACGGGGCCGATGGCGTCATCGGGATGGACCTCTGCCTTCCCACCGGACCCCAGAGTGCGTCCCATGAGCGCGGCGGAGCTGCGTCGAGGGGAACAGAGCGCGCTGCACTGCTCGGGGACCCGGACTCTGCAAGTGAGGAATCCCTCCCACCCACTGACCCCCAACCGCCCCCCCCACCCCCCGTCAGAAACCTACCTGGAGACCCCTCAGTCCCTTCCGGGGCAGCTCGGTCCCAGGCCCCAGCCTCTGCCCCCCCACCCCGCCGGCCCCCGAGCCCCGCCCTCCCTGGCTCCGCCCCCAGAGTGCCCCGCCCCCTCCCCAGGTGAGCCCCCCCGGCGGCGGCCCCGACGTGGCGTTCCGCTTCGGCGCCGTGCTGGACGGGGCGCGCACGCAGGAGGACGTGTTCCGGGCGTGCGGCGTGCGGCGTCTGGGCGAGCTGGCGCTGCGCGGGTGAGTGAGGCCCCGGCACGGCCCCCCGCCCCCCCACCCCCAGCCCAGCGGGCCGCCGCCGGGGTCCAGCCGCGCCTCTGCCGCCCGCAGCTTCTCCTGCACTGTCTTCACCTTCGGCCAGACCGGCTCCGGGAAGACCTACACCCTGACCGGGCCTCCTCCGCAGGTGGGCCGAGCGCAGATGGAGCCCCCGAGGGTCGGGGATGGGGGTCTCGCAGGCGGTGTGGACTTCCAGGGGGAAGGGCCTTCGTGCGGCCCAGCCCCCTTTATTTGCAGACAAGGAAACCGAGGACCGGAGAGGTAGAAGGCGCTTGCCCGATGCGGAGCTACTTTTGTCCTCCTTACTTAGTAGCTCTCAGTTTTCTTCATCTGTAGACGGAGGCGAATCGTTCTGATTCGATATTCTACGGGAACTTGGTTCCTGGCGCAGAGTAGGGCCGTCCTCCACAAAGGGTAGTTATGACTGGTTTTGTGTGGGTGTGCCGGGATGATCGTGACCCACCCCCTGGCTCAGCTGTTTCTGCTCCCAGGGCGAGGGGGTGCCCGTACCCCCCAACCTAGCCGGCATCATGCAGAGGACCTTCGCTTGGCTGTTAAACCGGGTGCGGCACCTGGGAGCCCCTGTCACCCTCCGCGCCTCCTATTTGGAGATCTACAATGAGCAGGTGGGGGACTGAGATTGAGTAGACAGCCCTCCAAGTAAAAGAAGTATTTCTCTCCAAGGAGCTGGGGTCAAGGGACAGAAGAGGCTGGGGGACTGTGTCGGTAAGGTCTAGGGGTTGATGGAGCACGGGCGCAGGGCCCCTGCCCTCACCGGCCACCCTCCTCTCAGGTTCGAGACCTACTGAGCCTGGGAGCTCCCCGGCCTCTCCCTGTTCGCTGGAACAAGACCCAGGGCTTCTATGTGGAGCAGCTGCGAGTGGTGGAGTTCGGGAGTCTGGGGGCCCTGATGGAACTGATGCAAATGGGTGTGTGCTGCTTCGGGGGCGCTTTGGGGTGTGGGGGCGCCGGTTCCTCAGCTGTTCACTGATGGTGCACTCGGAGCTCCTGGCCGGAGCTGTGGGCTGAGAGGACCCTAGTGGGGGAAAAGGGTCAGCAGACCACAATTCAGACACAGCCCAGGGATGGACCCCGGCCCCATCCCAGGCCTGGAGATTCTGCTGTCCGACTGCTGTGCGAACTCTTAGAATCCTGATGATGGGGTCATGATTGGGTAGAGCGGAGTCCGGGTCACGGTCTCCTCTCCAGCCCAGAGTCTCTGCCTCTGTCAAGCCCCATTTTTGCCCCTTGAAGAGGTCTCCCCACCTCAAGGCTCTCCCCTTCCAATCTCTTCCCCTCCACACAGCAAACCACATCCCTCTGCCCCCTTCGGACCTCCAGACCCTTCCAGCTTGTTGAAGGTAAAGGTCATACCTCTTAGGCTAGCCTGTGGTGCCCTTCTGTTCCAGCCTCGTTCATTTATTCATCAGATATTTATTGAGCACCTACCCTGTGGCAGGCTGTGGGGACACCGGGACTCTGGGTTCTGGCCCCAGAGTTGTACCATGGCTGGTAGCTGATCTTTCTGCCTGAGTCTCTCTCCCTCCCTCCACACAGCAACAGAAGAGATGTTTATAAAATGTGAACCTGATGGACGTTCTTCCCCTCAGTTCTCTCCATCTTTCTTTCACCTGTCCGTGCTGGAGGCAGGCCTCTGTGCCTTTGCATGGGCTGGCCCCTCTCCCAGGCTGTCCTCACTGCTTTTTCTTTATTGGTGACCACCTGCTCCTCCTACCAGGTCCAGCTCCTGCTGATTTCCCCCTCTAGGTCTTAGCCGTCGACGGAGCTCAGCTCACAGCCTGAACCAGGCCTCCAGCCGAAGCCATGCCCTGCTCACGCTCTACATCAGCCGCCAAACCGTGAGTGTCCCCACTGGGGGAAGGAGCTGGCCCAGGACCACCCGGCAAGGGTCTGCCGCCGGGTGTATGAACCAGCCGGGGTGTGCGCAGGAGATAATAGTGGAAATCCTTGGCTTTGTGACTCTGATGGGGACAGCCCCTCCCAAGTCCCCATCGACCCTGATCCTCCTACCCCACAGATGCCTCCAGTGGACCCTGGGGAGCCCCCCGTTGGTGGGAAGCTGTGCTTTGTAGACCTGGCCGGCAGTGAGAAGGTGGCGGCCACAGGATCCCGTGGGGAGCTGATGCTTGAGGCCAACAGCATCAATCGCAGCCTGCTGGCCCTGGGTGAGGCCTGGGGCCAGCTGGACTGACTTCCTGAGTCCCTCCTCTGAGCCGGACCCAGAACCGTCCACAGTGGGGGAAGCCAGGGGAGGCGTAGTACGGGAGGCGTAGGGGAGGCGTAGTAGGGGAGAGTCAGGAGCTGTGACCCAGGAGCCACACGCCTCCTCCTGGCCTCTGCTTGCTATTGACTGGAGCCTTCCCTCTTAGCACTTTATTCATGAGTCTGTAAACCCTGAGGGTCTGTAAAGGCACATTTTAACTGGGGAGGTAGAAACACTCAGGTGCAGAGTATGAGCCCTCAGACAGTCAGCCTGTCCCGTGTGCAGTTGGGAAGACTGAGGCCCAGTGAGGGGGAGGGAACTGACCTTCCCACCCCCGCCCCAGGTCACGGGGCCTTGGGAGCCTTCAGGGCTGGGACGCCAGCCTTCCTCTGTGGCAGGTGTGGGGAGATTTTCAGGAACTCTTCTTCATTCAGCCCACTTGTCAGATATTTCCTGAGCCCCTGCCGAGTGCCAGGCCTGTTGGTCAGGTTCTTTGGTGGCACTGGGGATCAGGGGCGGACAGGGTCATCTGTGCCCTCAGGAGCCCCAGTCTGGTAGCAGAGGCCAGTCTGACTGAGTGACCAGATCTTGGGAAGGAGAGATTTTCAAGTCACACAGGCCTGGGCGGAGATGCCAGCTCTGCGTGAAGCAGCTGGGTGGCCTTGGGCAACGGGTGTAACCTTGCTAGCCTTGTTGTCCCTGCCCAGGTCACTGCATCTCCCTGTTACTGGACCCACAGCGGAAGCAGAGCCACATCCCCTTCCGGGACAGCAAGCTCACCAAGCTGCTGGCAGACTCGCTGGGGGGACACGGGGTCACCCTCATGGTATCCGAGAAGGGCTGGCAGGGAGGGATGGCTCCTGAGGGAGAGGGTCCCAGAGAGGAAGGAACGCTCAGCGGCAGCCCTCCCCAGGTGGCCTGCGTGTCCCCTTCAGTCCAGTGCCTTCCCGAGACTCTCAGCACCCTGCGATATGCAAGCCGAGCTCAGCGGGTCACCACTCGGCCACAGGCCCCCAAGGTGAATGGAGGGAGACCGGGCAGAGGTGTGGGTCGGGGAGATGGTTGGGGATCAGGCAGTAACGGGAGCCTGAGTCGGTGTCGTGGGAAGTCTGGGATGAGTCACAGTTGGGATTAGAGTCAGAGTCCTGATGATGGGGTCGTGATTGGGTGGGGTGGGGTCAGGGGTCATGGTCAGGATTAGGGCATGTCTAGGGGTGTGGTCTGATTTGGAATATGATTCAGGGTATAGCCAGGATCCCAGTTGGTACCGTGATTAAGTCTGAGTTGACTTGGGGTCTGACGTAGTGTCTTGTTTGGTGTCAGAATCTGGGCCAAGGCCTGGACAGAACTGAGTTTAAGGTTGGATTTGGAGCAGGCTGCAGCTCAGAGCAGGCCCTCCAGGCACACGGCTGAGGCTTCCTGGTACTTTGACACCATTAGGGCAGGGTGCCTCCTCCAGGTGGATGTCGCCTTGTGCCAGGATGCAAGGCTGGCACGTGAAGCATGGGCTAGATCTCAGGCTCTGCTCACCGCCCCTGGAAGCGCTTGTACAGTGCACAACTTGTACAGCCGTAAACAGCAGTTCTGGGCCTCTTTCTGGGCAGTCACCTATGGCAAAGCAACCCCAGCGTTTGGAGATGGAGATACTGCAGCTCCAGGAGGAGAACCGCTGCCTGCGGTCCCAACTGGGCCAAGTACACCCCAAGGGTATGAGCTCCCCAGGGGCAGGGGTGGGGTGTGGCTGGGGCTCCCATGGATCCAGCCACCGTGCCCTTCCCCCCCGACAGCCTCAGGGCTCAGTGGGGCCCGGGTGGCCTGGGCCCAGCGGAACCTCTATGGGATGCTGCAGGAGTTCATGCTGGAGAATGAGAGGCTCCGGTAGGCTCCCCCTCAGCCAGGGGGACTCTGTGCCCCGCCCCTCACTTCTATGCTGCTTCCGCCAAGCTGCCCCCCTCCCCGGGTCCTTGGCTACCCTTCTGTCCCCGCTTTTCTCCTGGGGCTTGTACTCCACTGCAAAGAGAAGGGCTGACCCGTCCCCCTACTGGTATCTCTGCCTCCTGTCACCTTCCTGGGGCCTGCTCTTCCCAGGAAAGAAAAGAGCCAGCTGCAGAGTAGCCGGGACCAGGCCCGGGATGAGCAGCGGGTCCTGGCCCAGCAGGTGCACGAGCTGGAGCGGTGAGCACGGCTGCCAGCCTGGAGGCAGGCCTCGGGACACAGGGCAGGTGGGAGGAGGTGGCTCCGTGAAGCGGTCAAGAGTCTGCCCTCTGGGTCCGGACCACCTGGGTTCAGAGTCCAGCTCTGCCGCTTACCGGCTGTGAGACCTTGGGTGACTTGTTTTACTTCTCCCTGCGCAGCCTTCTTCCTCTCCTATGAAATGGGGCTGATATAGGTCCTACTTGGTAGGGTTGTCTTAAAGTTTGGATTGAACGAGTTCATACGTAAAGCACTGAGAACGGTGCCTGGCACGGCTGAGTGTTGGCTAAAAGGGGGACTCGGGGACCAGCCTCGTGGTTGGTTTTCAGACCGCAGGCATAGACCCCACCGTCCTTTCCAGGCGCCTCCTCTGTGCCTGCTCCCTTCACCTGCCAAACCCCGGCCCAGCCCCACCGTGTCCCTGTGTGATGGCACCAGCTCGCCCCTGCCACGTGAGTCTCTGGCCGGCCCGGTGGGGTGGAGCAAGAATGTCACAAAGCCTCTGACGTGCCCTGTTGCAGGCCCTGCCGCCCCTCTGCTCCTGCCCCTGCTGTCACCTGTGCCCCTTGTGCCGAGCACCGTTGGCCCACTGGGCCTGCCCACACAGGGGGCTCCAGCTGCCACAGGTAGGAAAGGCCAAGGCGGGGGAGGGAAGGCTGGGAGAGGGGGGGTCCGTGGCCTGGGAGGCTCCAGAGCTCCAGGGTCCCCGGCTGGATCGTTTGGGTGAGGGGCTGGCTTTGGGCTCCCACCCAGGGTTCAGAAAGTCTGTTTGCTTTGCCCGCCCCCCCCCCGCCCCCACCCCCATCCTGCCTTCTTACAGGAACTCACTGTCCCGCTCGCTTATTCATTCACTCGCATGTTACTCATTTCCGTGTTCGCTCACTCACGCGTTCACTCGTTCAGTACCTGTCCCCTAAGCTCCTAGCTTCATGCCAGCCTCTGTTCTGGGCACCAAAGATTCAGACATGACATGGGATTCGAACAGACATGGTTCCTGCCCACAGGGAGTTCCTCATCCCCAGAGAGGACATTACAAGGCCTGCCCACTGCCCGCAGAGAAAGTGACCAAGACCCTGCACTTTGACGCCCACCTGACATTCTTGGTGTCTCGTGGGGCATGTGTGGCAGGGATGGTGGCGCCATGATGGCACCAGGAAGGTGGAGCACATAGAGGCAGGGTCGCCCAGTGCGGGCTCTGGTCTTTCCTGCAGGTGTTTGGCCCTAAGACCCCAGGTGGCCTGGCTCTGTCTGCCCAGCCTCCACCCTGGGCACCCCCATGCAATCCTGACTCTGCCGAGTTCCCGAGAGAGAGGTGGGCCCAGCCCTTGGGCACTGGGATGGGGGAGGAGGAGGCTCGCCTGAGGAGCCGAAGGCTCACCTCCCACCGCCCAACCCACCCCGGGCTAGGAGTCATAGCGACTGGACTAGGACCCGAGTCCTGGCGGAGATGTTGATGCGAGAGGAGGTGGTGCCCTCTGCACCGCCCCTGCCCATGGGGCCTCCAGACGCGTCACCAGTGCTGAGAGGTGAAGGAGAGAGAGAGGGCGGGGCCCCTAGCGTTTTTGGTGGTCTTGGGCCAGAACTCACCCTGTCCAGACCTCAGTCTCCCCCCTTCTGGAACAGGGTGTGTGCTGCGAGGCGATCCATAAGATCCTTGCAGTTTCCAAACTGGAGTTCTCTTCCTAGGGCCACCTGGTTGTCCACATGCGTGCAGGAGCCCGTGGTGTTGGTCGAGGGGGAGGGGGACCGCCTGAGGCTTCCTCAAAGGGTGTTAGGGCACTGAGGGGTCTGGGTGGGGTGGGCCCGGGGGAGCACAGGCCTCGGGTCTCACTGTGCTCCTTAGGTGGGGCTGCAGTTCCAAACCTGGCCCGGAGACTGGAGGCCCTCAGAGACCAGATTGGCAGCTCCCTGCGACGCGGCCGGAGCCAGCCACCCCCCAGCGAGGGTACACGGAGCCCCAGCCGAGTCCTCCCTCCCTGCTGAGGGCAGAACACACCTCAGAGACCCCCGGGTGACCCTGGTCTGGGCTCTGCGCTCCTGGGTTTCAACCTCCCCATCTGTGAAATGGGAACAATGGCTGACGCTTCCCTCTGCGACTGAGCTGGGCAGGGGAGAAATCCTCAGGGCTGTGGGTGGGGCTGTGGGGCAGTTTGGGGGAGCAAGGGGAGGGTGCCACCCCAGACTGTGAGAAATGTGACTGGATCTTCGAGAAACCAGGTTGCAGGTGGTGAAATAGACGAATAAAGAGAGGTGTCCACTCCAAGACTGGTCAGTCATGTCTCCGGGTGGCCAGGCACTTCCGCGTGGGGGGTCACAGAGAGGAGGGGTTCTCAAGGGAATCTGAGGAGGAGGCAAGGACTTGTGGCAGAGGGGTGTGCCCCCTCTGATCAGGAATATTCCAGGTTCCCATCCCCTTCATATACAAGTTTTAATTGAGCTGCTACTACATGCTGCTGGGCAGATGTGGAGAAATCGGATGGTGAGTGTCTCCACGAAGGAGGCCTGAGGGACACTGGTTCAGGCTCACTCGGCTGTGTATGTGCCAGTGCTGGAGGGATCCTGAGGTCTGAGTTCTGATGCCACAGACTTGCTGAGACCTTGGGCAGACCCTGAACCCTCCTTGGATCGCTTTCTGGTGTTCAGCCAGTTAGATGGGGCGTGAAGCTCCTTGTCTGTTGAGTTCAAGTGCAGGTTAGGAGGTGAAGGGTATCAGGATTCCTGGCATAAGTACTCAGTAGGATGCAAAGGGGCTCCAGTTAGGGGGAAATCCATTTTATAGTTAGGGAAACTGAGACCCACAGGGCTCATTCCTTCCTTTGTTCGTTCATTCATTCATTCATTCATTCAGCACTACTGGCCTCGAGGCAAATCAAGGTGGTGAACAGGACTGACAAGGGATAAGCCGGCTTTGCCCAGGAAGCTCACAGGGGCCAGATGAAAGGCAGGACGTGTGACTGGGCATTAAGGGTGTTCAACAGTGGAGAGTTAGTGGAAGGCCAGCATTCACGGAGGCAGAGTCCAGGACGGGGGGTAATAACCAGATGCCACAGACCCACCGGGCTCCGCAGGGGGGGCCGTGGTTAAGTTCACGCATAGCACCACACACGTTCAAATCTCGCCTCCTCACTTCACCACGAGTAATCCTGGGCAAATGACTTCACTGCCCTGAGCCCCAGTTGTCTTATCAGCAGAATGAACACGATAATAGGACCTCCTCACTGGAAGGTCCTGGGGATTAAGTCCCCGGAGAGATGGCAAGAGTAACAGCACAAGCAGCTTTCAGTCACTATGGTCATTTGATGAGATGGACACCCTGGGTTTGGAAAAAAAATTCGTTCAGCAAATACCTACCAAGAACCCACTTTGGGCCAGCCTTGAACAAAGCATGGGAATCCTTACCTTCATAGAACACAGGAAACAAGAAAGTGGGCAAAAATGCGTGGGAACTCGGTGATCAGTACCATGGAGCACAATATAGCCGGGAGGGCCCTCTACCAGACTGGGTGCCGTTCTGAAAAGGGGGATCAGGAAGGGGCTCGTGCAGGGAACATTCATGCAGAGACCTGAAGGGGGGCGGGAAGGTGAACCTGGTTAATGCCATGAAGTCACTTTTCTCTCCTCTAGGTAATTTTGGTGCCACCTCGGCCCCGGGGGGCTCGGCAGGTTTGAGCCCGGGGTTTCTCCCCTCCCCAGAGCCCTTATCTCACTCACTGTATCATCGGGGCCTGCTTGCTGGGAGGCCTTCAGCCCCAGGCGGGGAAGGCCCCTGGCACTGAGCATGAGAACCTTCCTCAGCTGCCTTGGGAGGGTGGACAGGGACCACCCAGGGGGACCCTGGCTGTTGCTGGTTCATTCATGTTTGGATGATTCCTCCTCCTGCTGGAGCCAGCCGCGGTTTTCCAGTCTCCTAGTCCAGCAACCCCCGCACTTCACTTTCCCAGAAATAGGCTCAAGGGGACCAGTGTCCAGCACCCCATCGAATAGGCCACGTATCCGTCTCTCGGTCAATATCCTCACTCTAGAACTACCACTTGTCCAGAATCCCAAAACCCGGGAGGAATTTCAGAGGACCCCAGTGATGTATCCAGACACTTCACGTCCAGGGGTCCTTACTGAGAGCTTGAGGACTCCAGAGGGCACCTCTGGAACCCTGAAAGCTATAGGTCTTCCTCAGGATGCTAGAATTTGGGGGCGGTTCTCTGGCTTCATGAAATAGGGTAGTCATTGTCCAGAAGCTTAGAAGGTCTCTGGTACATCAGAATTGAGAGAAGCTCTTGGAAACCCTGAAGCACTGTAGGAATTTTCCAGAATCCCAAATCCTTAAATGACCCCTTGGAAATTTTAAAACTTTGTGTAGAAATTGGGAGGGATTCTCTGGACTCATCGGCTTGGGGTGGAGATGTTCAGCAGAGCTGGCAAACCTAGAGATCAATCTAGATGTCTGGAGCCCTGGTTGAATTCTCCAGGTCCTTGGGGACCCCACCTGTCAGCCAGTGTGGGAACAGGAGCATGGCTGGAGGCATCACTGGAGGACAGGCTTTAGGAAGAACATGCCTGTGGGTCCTTGTGTTTCAAAGGCCGTGAGATCTCCTCTGGGCGATCCACCCCAAGATAGACCCCGAAAGGTGCAGAAGGCCTGAGAGAGTGTGAACGGCTTCTCACTCCTGTCTCTGTCTGCTTTGGCCACACCAGCCTCCCATCACCTCCCAGATGCGTCCTGCCTTGTCTCAGGGTCTTTCTTCCCTTTGTCTAACGACACATTTTCCCCATGCGGTTTTGTAACAGCAGGTTGATTTCGGCCCCTGTGAGGAGGGATATTTTGTGTTCCTGTAGGTGACTTTTTCCATCGTCCCCTCCGTGTTGAGCTTCGAAAGATTCTTCTTCTTTTGTTTTAATGGTGGGGCAGGGCTGTGCAGGTGGGGGCGGTCTGGCTATGAGACGAAGAGTGGCAGCCACTGGGAGTTGTAGACAGGCCACGAGCTGGCTCAGGACCAGGACGGGAGTCAGGAGACGGGGTTTGCAAGCCTGCTGTGCAGCAGACCTACTGTGTGAGCCACACGAGCCCCGCCCTGGCCATCGCTGGCATCTGCACTGGCAGGCCAGCAAGGAGGCCCTTGGCAGGTTGGCCAGCAGGTGTTGTCCTCGGGAGCCTTCATTCAGCCCGGGGCTCTGATCACACGGTCTCTCACTGGTCACCTTTACTAGGTCCTGCTTCAAGGCCGGGCCTGCTTTACCGGTGGCCAGGGTGGAGGTCCGGGCGGTCTCCAGGCTGCTGAGCATTGGGCAAACCCAGCCCCTCTCTCCACTCCAGTCTGCCCGACTCGCAGCTGTGAGAGCCTGGGCAAGGTGGGTGACCTCTCTGGACCTCAGTCTCCTCCTCTGTAAAGTGGGGATAAGATTGATTTATCCAGTGAGAAGTTAATGAGTGCTCATAGAGGAAATTACAGGAGGACTAAACGAATCCATATAAACTGGGACAGAGCTCGGCACATGGTCAGTGCTATGTAAATGCTAACGATTATTACCGTTATTATTAATAGTGGGTGCTCTCGGCACAAACATGCAACGTTCCTGTACTTGCAGGAGAGGAATTGTGTCAGTATCTGCTCTCTGGTTATTTCAGACTCGTGAACTTGTTGATATTCGTTCTCCTGCCACCTTCTTACAAGGTGACCGATTCTTCTCACGTGGATTCTTGTAGGGAGAGGGTGGCCATTCAGGACCGTTGCCCAGTGCCAGAGCCGGGGAGGAGTCCTTGTTGCTCTTTCCCGGGGGGAATTGAGAGAGATTCATTCGTCTTCATTGAGTAAGGGCCAGAGGGACTTTCCAGAGTTCAGCTTGCCTCGAGGTTTCGGAAGAGAGCTATTTTAGTCCATCTGAGGACATTGGGTGACATCAGCTCAGTCAGCCGGGAGTCAGGGCAGGTCCCTGGAGGTCCTGCTTTAATGGACAGATAAGACCAGCCTCCAAAGAGCAGGAAAATGCCTGTGTCCTCTTCCTGGACACGGGCAGGTCTTTGGAAGTTCACTCCTTTGGGAAAACCCTTTCTTCAGTGGGCAGTGGGCCACAAACTGTCCCCTGGACGTCAAGGACACTCAGCTCCAAAGTGTCTCACTTTGTGAGCCACTTCTCCAGGCTAAGCCCACCTCCTCCACAAACAGGAAGCTAGGCTGACAACATCCGAGGGCTCCCTTCCCTCCGCTCTCTTCATGGAGCGAGAACACCACGTGTCCCCTATTATTTAATCTCCCACACCCCGTGAGCTCTGATCAACCCCATTTAACGGAGGGAAAAACTCAGGTCCAGAAAGGTGAAGTCACTTAGGACCGAGCAGGGAGGAAGGGGGCGCAGCCGTGACCGGAACCCAGGTCTGTCTGGGAGCACAGTTCACCTGCTTGACCACCACTCTGCTAAACGAAGCTTGGGAGTCCTCCCGGCCATGCTACACAGACTAATTCAAAATCGGGGACACAAGGAAAAGCCACCACAGAGCAAAGGCTCTTTGCTTTTTGGACGGTGTCTCCCAGTCACTCATTGACCATTATTTAAGGACTTGGAGTAGTGATTCCAATTTTCCAGGCTCCCTCAGCTGCCTTCTACTTGGGTGGTCCTTCCTGGGGTCTGACGTACATTCTCCTTCACAGTTTTAAGTGAGTCCCTCGGCATATGTTCACTGAGCACCTGCTTAGTGGCCAGCATACTGTTAGGCCCCAGGGAGGAGGAGACGGGTCAGGTCTTGGTGTGGCAGGCACGGAGCATGCTCTTGGCTGGAGAAGGGAGAAGCAGGCTCGCGTGGGCCTGACTCCTGCAGTGAGGAGTCCAGTGAAGGGAGATGACCCCACCCCTCTGCTCCAAGGGTCTGAAAGAGCATGGCCCAAGGTCCTATTTATCAGGGGACAGGGTCTGGGAGGCCCTGAGAGTGATGTAGGTGTCAGGGAGACAGATCTGCCTTTGAATCGCTACTCGTTGGCTGGGTGACCTTTGACACCTGTTTACTTGAGCTCTTAGCCTCAGTTTCCCTATCTGTAAAACAGCAACCATTGTCGTAAAATGATGGAACCTGAATAGGATTCGTTAAGATGTGCTCGTGAGGCGCTCGGCATGGGGCCTGCTACCTCCATAGGAATGTAATCAGCCTTTATGGTCCAGAGCAGTGGTACCCAGGCTGGTTCACTGGGAGAATCTTTCAGGAACCGGTTTCTAAAAGGGCCCCACCTAAGCATCCAGCTCTATTAGCTAGGCTGGGATGGGCAAGGTAGAAGC